TTCTCTGATGACAAGTGATGTGGACTATCTTTTCATGTGTCTGTTGGCCATCTGAATTTCTTCTTTAGAAAACTGTCCATTCAGCTCCTCTGTCCATTTTTTAATTGGATTATTTGCTTTTTGTTTGTTGAGGTGTGTGAGCTCTTTATATATTTTGGATGTCAATCCTTTATCAGATCTGTCATTTATGAATATATTCTCCCATACTGTAGGATACCTTTTTGTCCTATTGATGGTGTCCTTGGCTGTACAGAAGTTTTTCAGCTAGATATAGTCCCACTTGTTCATTTTTGCTTTTGTTCCCCTTTCCTGGGGAGATCTGTTCATGAAGAAGTCACTCATGTTTATGTCCATGATATTTTTGCCTATGTTTTTTTCCAAGAGTTTTATGGTTTCATGACTTACATTCAGGTCTTTGAAACATTTCGATTTTATTTGTGTATGGGTTTAGGCAGTGATCCAATTTCATTCTCTTACATGTAGCTATCCAGTTTTGCCAGCACCATCTGTTGAAGAGACTGTCATTTCCCCATTGTATGTCCATGGCTCCTTTATCATATATTAATTGGCCATATATGTTTGGGTTAATGTTTGGAGTCTATTCTGTTCCACTGGTCTGTGGCTCTGTTCTTGTGGCAGTACCAAATTGTCTTGAATTACTGTGGCTTTGTAGTAGAGCTTGAAGGTGGTGAGCGAGATCCCCCCCCCACTTTATTCTTCCTTCTGGTGTTTCCATATGAATTCTTGAACTATTTGTTCCAGTTCATTGAAGAATGCTGTTGGTAGTTTGATAGGGATTGCATCGAATCTGTATATTGCTTTGGCCAGGATGGCCATTTTGACGATATTAATTCTTCTTAGCCAGGAGCATGGGATGAGTTTCCATTTGTTAGTGACCTCTTTAATTTCTCTTAAGAGTGTCTTATAGTTTTCAGGGTATAGGTCTTTCACTTCCTTGGTTAGGTTTATTCCTAGATATTTTATTCTTTTTGATGCTATTGTGAATGGAATTGTCTTCCTGATTTCTCTTTCTATTAGTTTATTGTTAGTGTATAGGAAAGCCACAGATTTCTGTGTGTTAATTTTGTATCCTGCAACTTTGCTGAATTCCGATATTAGCTCTAGTAGTTGTGGAGTTTTTGTGTACAATATCATGTCATCTGCAAATAGTGACAGTTTAACTTCTTCCTTACCCATCTGGATTCCTTGTATTTCTTTGTTTTGTCTAATTGCCGTGGCTAGGACCTCCAGTACTATGTTGAATAACAGTGGGGAGAGTGGTCATCCCTGTCTTGTTCCCGATCTCAGAGGAAAAGTTTTCAGCCTCTTGCTGTTCAGTATGATGTTAGCTGTGGGTTTATCATATATGGCCTTTATTATGTTGAGGTACTTGCCCTCTATGCCCATTTTGTTGAGAGTTTTTATCATGAATGGATGTGGAATTTTGTCAAATGCTTTTTCAGCAACTATGGAGATGATCATGTGGTTTTTGTCCTTTTTGTTGATGTGGTGGATGATGTTGATGGATTTTTGAATGTTGTACCATCATTGCATCCCTGGGACGAATCCCACTTGATCATGGTGTATGATCCTTTTGATATATTTTTGAATTTGGTTTGCTAATGTTTTGTTGAGTATTTTTGCATCTACATTCATCAGGGATATTGGTCTGTAGTTTTCTTTTTTGGTGGGGTCTTTGCCTGGTTTTGGTATTAGGGTGATGTTGGCTTCATAGAATGAGTTTGGGAGTATTCCCTTCTCTCCTATTTTTTGGAAAGCTTTAAAGAGAGAGTGGGTATTATGTCTTCTCTGTATGTCTCATAAAATTCTGAGGTAAATCCATCTGGCCCGGAGTTTTGTTCTTGGGTGGTTTTTTGATTACTCTTAACATGAATGTTTTAAGAAAAGTTGGATGATTTGTTCAGTGATCAGTGACATACTATTTATAAAGTCTACAATTAGTATTTTGCTATAATTGATTAAACTTGTCCTTCCTAATAGAAAATATTTATGCATCCTTTAAGTTCATGGAAATAATTTTTAAGCTAAAAGGTATGAACAAAAGGGATAAGACCTTTTGCTGAGGTCTAAGGTACAATTACAAAAGACAGCGGGTGTGCAAGATAGTAGCAAATAAAAGGCTACTAAACTGTGAAAATGGTGTCTTTATGGTATAGCTTCTTTACACTGTGGCATGTCTCTACTGTCCAATGTGGTGTTAATAATGCACTTAACCAAATTTCTCTTTTCAAACTGCTGCAATATCTTAAAACATATAGCAGGGCTACTTGTCTTTCATTTGGCACAAAACACATTACTTTGTAAATGTTCTTTAAGTTTTCCTCTATTCTTTACGCTTCAGGCAACAAAAGTAGTACCATTTATCAGCAATATGGCCATGAACCTTCCATTATGAAGTAGTCATCTAGCTGCTTCAAACTACCTTTATGATGAAATGAAAATAGGGTAAAAATTTTGTAGAAAGCTCCTGTGCCCCTGAGAATCCTTGCTCAGACTCCACAACTTAAGGACCCCTAAGCTGAGAGAAGACCAGGGCTTAAGTACCACTTGGCCACCTACTGGCTGTCTCATCTTCTGCACTCCCAGTTTCTTTACTTAGAGAATAAAAATTTTGGATTACACAATCATTAATACCCTTTTTAGCTGTGATGATTCTGTTCTTGTCTAGAGTTTGAGTATTTGAACTAGCTGGCTGGCTATATGCCACTTGGTTTTTATGTGTAAAGTACCTTGATGTTTTGTTGGTCTGCAAGATGACAGATAAGAGTCTCAACATTCTTGTCAATCAATAATGACTCATAATGAGATGTATGGTTCTCTGCCAGTTCTAAAATGATTCTCCTTAAGGGGAAGGGAATGTTCCTTGAATTCATGTCATTATTCTAATAACAAAATCAGAGAGCTTCGATGCTAAAGCAGCTGTGTTTAGTAAATATGGTTCAGAATGGCTCAGAAGATCTGGGTACACTGGAAAAGTTGTTTAGTTACCTTAACTAGGCAGTGTATAAATGAAGTTGAGCTTGGATCCATTACTTTAAAAATTCTTCAGGTAAGTTTGCTTGCAGATGGAGTGTCCACTTAACAATCATTAATGGGGTTTCAGAAAGGAGCAGAGTAAATAACATATAAATATGTATGAACTGCCATGTTTAACTGGAAGCCTGTATGTGGGAGTGAAGTATCTATCTAATCTTAGGTTAAGTAAGGATGGGGAAGGATATTGCCAAGAGAGTTCATACTGTTCATACTGAGAACATCACAGAGCACCAGTTTGGCTTTACTGGACATCTTATCTAGGAAGTAGAGTGAAATAAGTGATCTTTTACAAACTACTGTTAGACTTTATAATATTGTAATTCCTGATCACGAATCTGGAAAGCCATATCTAGTGCTTTTCACATCATTATCTTACCATACAAAGTGCTTTCAAGTTTGCAAACCTGGCTTAGACCTGCTTCAGTTTCACTCCTAGCCTGTACTAAAGGCAGCTAGCCAATTAAAAATGGTCAAGGCAATTGTACTTCCACACAGTAGTAGCAATTGCTCTGCTGCCCTGCTTCTTGAAATATTTTCAGCAAGAGGTCCACCTTTGGGCCACAGATTTAGTCAGACCTTAAGGTGCGTATTGATTTGACCCATATTTTCATTTAGTTCTTCTTTTTTCTACACTAGCCTAATCCTGTGAAACTGCTAGTGCTTGCCAGTAGATGATCTTTGGGAGACCAAACAGGCTAGGGAGGAGATACAGAAGACCCCTATATATATATATATATATATGTATTTTCTTGAAGTATTGTTATATAATCTTACATTGTTTTCATGTATACAACACAGTGGTTCTACAGTTATCCATATATTAAATCCTTACTCAACTAGTGCAGTTACTCAGAGGTTACAGAATCATTGGCTATATTCTCCATGCTGTTCTACTATCCCTGTGACCAGCTTACATTATGATTGAGAATTTTTGGAAGACACTGGTAGTAAGTGCTGAAGATTTGTTGATGAGTAGTACTGGCTTGATCTGTGTCATGGGCCTGTTTCAGCAGGCCTGATTCCATTGTCACTGTCATTCCTTTGCTTTAAGAAGTTTGAGGGTTTGTTATTTGAAAAATGCATGACATTGCAAAAAAGTAGAATAATAGACCTAAGGGACTGTGTAAGCTATTTATTGGATCCTTAGCCTTTTTTTCCTTTTGCATAGATTTGCTTGGCTAAAATAATAATGGGTTTTATATGCCTGTAACCATTCTTGATTTCTCTGAATATTGTGAGACTTGGGTGGTACAGCATTTATATAAGCTGTTCAAAAAATGAATTGAATAGAAAACAATTGTTTATCTTGGCAGTGTACCAGCATCTTACTACTTAATGTACAAATTCAAAGGGTAGAATGCTACACAACTAGGTGAGAGAGAGGCACTTTGACGTAGATTGCTCAGTTCTTAAAATAGTGCTGTATAAAAGAAGCCTGAGGCAATCTGAAAAATTCTTACAGAACTCAACAGTTAGAGCACATTGGAGCTTTTCTAGGGTGGCCTGATAGCTTTCTTGGTTGAGAAAGCTAAGTTCTCTGTTATTTCCAACCCCTTGATTTCTTGACACCTGCCCCACCCCCGAATCTATATTTTGTGATGAGAACACAAAGTCCTTAATAATCTACACTCTAGAGAATTTCTCATCAGTGGAGACTGTAAGAATAAAGGACAGTATGGAAATTTTGGTAATTGTTCATCTCTGAATTGGTCTTGGAGATAAGGAGAACTATAAGGAATGGAGCTAGAATGAATGGAAGAATTTGCATGTTGCTAGACTGGTAGCTAGAATACAGAGTTCTACACATTTCTAAATCTCCACCTTTCAATACATCCAAAGGAAAGGTAGATACAATTTAATTTAACCACTAGTTGCTTATTGCAACAGACTTTTCCTCGTGTACTATGTTTCATTAACTTATTTTTCTTCTCTCTCTTCTCCAGATCTTCCTCGGAAGAATAGGCTTGTTGCTTTACAGTGTTAGGGACCTATTCCCTTTGACGATCCCTAGGTGGAGATGGGGCTTGAGGATCCTCCATGGGAAAAGCTCACTACCACTGGGCAACAACCCGAGGCCACAACACTCTACCAAGATTTCTTTCCTGGGCCCAGTAGGAAGATGAAGTCTCAAGACAACCACCACACATCAGAGGTGGGTAAACTGTCCCTAAAAGCATAATACATAGTCTTTAATTTTGATGTTTTCTAGTCTACTGTATTTAACTTTACACTAGGATTGTTTTCATCATTACCACTGTGTCTGCTTTGGTAAAAAACAGCTTCCTAGCTAAGCAATTAGGTGGAAAGCAATAGGGTGTGAGATGGATGATGAGGATGATGTGAAAAGAGCTGCAGGCTGCCTGAGTTAGGTGTTTAGAATGGGCCTAGCATGTTAGAGAGGCTATAGCTAATTTTTCTGTCTTTCATAGGAGAACATGGACAGCTGCTGCCATATCTGCAGCACTGATCAAGGGCAGATCATCATTCTGGACTCTGTGGTCTCCAGAGTCTCTTGATGCCTGCTGGAGAACTCTGTGCTAGTCATTTACATAGTTGAAGATGCTTTGAGATGTCTGTGGAATAAAACACAAAACAAGCTGTTTGAGAAGATAAATCAGTTTCTTTTTATGCTGTGTTCACTAATTGATGGAACCTGACCAGAAATGGCACAAAATTATCCATCAGGCAGGATCTAAAGAACCAAGAGCCTGCATCTGCTAGGTCAGTGATGGGAGAGAAGCATGCAGGTTGGGAGACGGAAGTTAACCATTCAGTGTAGCAAGTCCAGATTGCACAGGCTTTGTGCAGATTTGTACTCAACTGAAAGAATACGGCTGTGATTGACAGTGGTGTTTCTCGTGGTTCACTGAGTGTTATCTCACAAAACGTTTTCCTCTTTATGCCATAGTTTCCTATTCTTGTTGAATGAGGAACTTGTATTAGTTTTATCTCTGAGGACCTAAAAGCTTCAGCTCTAAGCTCTGTAGAGATAGTTTCTATAGCTCATTAATTCGAATCTTCTAATTAGTAGCACAGTACTCAGTTAAGAACTTTATGGTATTTATGTACCTTTCCTCTCATTTTTTGTAGCTCCTGATTGTTTCCTTCATAGCTGCCAAAGAATTATCCCTCCCAAAAGCAGTGCAGAGAGCAATAAATATGAACACACCAAAGGAAGAGCAACATGCCTGGCACTCTAGCATTTTACACTAGCAGAATGAAGTAAGTTGTCGGTGCTGTAAAATCCTGTGAGGATAGCTTTCGAGCTAATAGCTGATTGGAGGGGGAGCCAAATGTGAGATGGGAGGATGACCAATAACCTGTATTACCAGTAAGTTTCACTGAAGCAACTCAAGGATATTACCGTCTGTGTGCCAGTTGTGTCACAAAGCAATTTTGTCTCACGTTGTTTGTTCTTTACCTTCACTGTGTAGATCCTCTGACACTCTTAGAGGCCTAAAACAAAAATTGTTTTCTGCTTTCTTACTTCCTCTTGTGAGAGACTCTGTCTGTAGTTAAAGGTTTAGTGTTAATGGAAACCCAGTCCCTCAAGCTGCCATTATGATTAAGGTTGTGAAAATCAAGTCAGTTTCTAAAGGGATGGGAAAGATGAAGATATAAAATGAGGAGATTGACTAGGTGCTCCCTGAGTGCCCTTTATTATAGTATTCACTCATCTCCATTGGCTTCTCTGGAATCCTTACAATAGTTGTGGCAGAATTTTAAGTGGCACATATTCTCTGTTTAAATCCTCTGCTACTTATTAGGTGCATGGCCTCTGGCACTTGAGAGCTTCTGATTACCTTTGTCTGTGAAGGTTAACTGAAATCATGGATGTAAAGTGCTTAGTACAGTGCCTGGCACATGGTAAGCGAAAGGTAATCCACAAAGTTTCATGAGTGCATTTGACACAATACAAGTGACCACTAATACCATCTAGTGGCAGGCCAAGTTGGTGCATTTTGGTTCAATGTAAGAAATCCCTAAGGTAAAAGTTTGTAAATAGAAAACCGTATGTGTTGGTGCTGATGGTTGCTATTATGATAATTATTACTGATAGTAATGTCAGTACTGGTACTATTTATTATAATTATTAATGCAATTTTTTTGGTCTTTTTTTGTGGTGTCATCTTTTATTGTGCCCCTCACTATTTTGTTTCTTCAACTTCTTACCCTCCTCCTCTGAATGCCTGCCTTGTTATTTCTTGTCACTTGCAAGTGTGTATTTCTTTGCTTGTCTAATTCCTCCGTGAATGTCTTTGGTCTTTCTTCTCTATCTACAGTATATCTTATTGTTCCCACAAGTCTCTTCCTGGTTTCTTTGTGTATCTTTGTCTCATTTTACACTTGTTTGTCCCCAAGAGTTATCTGTGCCATGTCTTAGATGTCTGCCTTTAGTTTTTTCATTTTATTGCTGATTCTCTTTGCTCTCCTAGATATGGCTCTTTTTTTACTGTTTTCTATCCCTTTATGGCTCTGAATCATATGCTGTGTGCTTTTTGCTGGTTTCTTGTTCTGCCTATCTCTCTTTTCTCTGTGCGAACTCGTTTGTTCATCATTCCCTCTCCTTGTTGCCTTGACGTTTCACCTTCTGATTCTGACCTTCCTTCTGGTTGTTTCTACTCCTTATCTTGCATTTCTTTCTGTATGTCCTCTATATCTGTCTTGTGCTATTTTCTCTCTTTTTCTCCTGCTCTGTGTGTCTGTGTCTCTACTCTCTGTGATTTTCCATTTTCAGTGTTCATCTCTCTGTGCTCTTCTTTCTTCTCTGCCTTTTCTCTTATACTCACCTTTGAGTATTTCAGCTTCTTCATGAATCTGTGTCACCCCCTCTGATTTCATGCAGTCTTCTCTCCTTGCATATTTTGTGTGTGTGTATGTGTGTGCTACTGTAGGTGTGTCTGTGGTAAAGGGGATTCCCAGCCCCTTCCTAATAGGTGCAGACTGTCACCTATGAAAATAAGCATTGCAGAGCTGTTCCTTACCCCAGGCTGCCCTCTGAGATGATAAAAGACCTAACATGGAGAAGGTGGAAGGCCCAAAGTAGAAGACAGATGGATTGAGACTTGAGACCTAAAGACTAAAATGGAAAACCTGTGTCCCAAGATAGATGGAAACCTCAGGCCTGAGACTGTCTGAAGCCCTAAGAGTTACAATGTACAGAAGGTAGGCCTTATTGGACAGAGACTTAAAGACCTGACTGAATTGGGTGGAAGGCTCAAGTCTTGAATTATATAAAAAGCTGAAGACCCAGGATGGGAGCTAAGGAAGGCCCAAGATAAGGCCTAAGATAAAAAAGCCTTAGCTTAAACACCTAAGACTCAAGGATGGAAGACCTCAGACAAACATAAAGACCGAGGACTCAAGCCTCTCTAGATGAATAGGATGCCCAAGAGAGAAAAGTAACTCAAGACTAAATCAGGTGGGAAGCTGGAGGGCCATGACCCAGAATCTAAGGATAGAAGTCCCAGGACGAGAGGAAACCCAAAGATGAGAACTCTAAGCCCCACCTCTTTTCTGCTGTTACCTTCCCTGCTCCTGGACATTTTCCATTCTCCCTTTCCAGTTTTTATATCTCCATTTAAGCCCACTTTTGAAGTGTTCTTTTTGATGTTGCTATTACCTTAAACATATCTTTAGCTGGCAATATTATGCTTAGGCCATTCTTAAGCCAGTTTTCATCATAATTTTGAACCTTTCATCAAGTGTTTGGTGCTTTTTAGACTTAGACTTCTTTTCACCACTTGACAGAAACATGACAGGTAACATTGTATTTCAATCCTCCATTTTCCTCAGAAACTCTAGGCTGATGAGAAGAGGAAAGCATCAGGTTGTTGGGGAAAAAAGTGCCAGGCTATCTAGAGAAAATGTGAAGAGATGCTCCAGGCCAGTGAGAAGAATTAGACAAAAGACAGGTTTGCCAGCCTGCTCAGAAACACCAGCCAGCAATACCTTATTTCTTTGAGGTTGGGTGAGCAGGATTCCTGGGGTTTGGGATTTCTAGTGATGGTTACAAAAAGGAATGAAATGACGGCCTGTGAAAGAGTAAAGCCCCAAGGAGCCAGCCTGAACTCCCTGCTCATGGTAGTGGCCTAATTTGATGGGCTGTGTCAAGCCTGTCCCTGGGTTTAATGCCCATTTCTAGCCTTAAAGGAGTGAGAACTTGGGAACAATTAGTAGGTTTAATCCTTTCTTTGACTTTTTTCCCTCCTTACCATGAGGGAAGACAATTTGAATGATTGTGAATATATTTGAAAGCACTCTAAAACACAGAAAAAAGCAAGGCACTCTCATTCATAGTATATTAACAGCCATGCATGGCTAACATTTGAAAGTGCACTGTCAGCTCTGAAGCATTATGTAAATAGGGTCATCACACCTTTTTTGTAAGGGTCAGATGGTAAATATTTTAGGCTTGAAGAGCCATATAGTTTTTGTTGCTTTAAAAAAAAACGCTTTAAAAAGGAAAAGCTATTCTTAGCTCCTGAACCGAGTGGATTTGGTCCGTAGGCCATAGTTTACCGCCCCTGATATAAATGCCAGGGACTGTGTGCTGAATAATACTAATTTCCTCCTGTGGGCCTGTCCCTGTGCTGGGTGCTGAGGATGCAGTAATTCGGTATGATCACATCCAGTTTAACTAAACTTAAAATGTGAATGTGCTTTTGTAAACTGTAAAGCACCTAAAGACTTAAGGAGTTTCAGAGTTGATGAATGAATATTGATTGCATAGTGTACACATTCTACTGGGCTAAGGCTCTGTGGATACAAAGATTAAAAGAAGCATGAATAAAGTGCTGCACCAAAAGTATAATACTTCACATAGACCAGGAATTAAGTGTTTGATAAATGCGCAATTCATGTATTTGTGGCCATCATGTTTTTGCTGCTATGGTGATTTTGAGTAAAAAGAGTATCCAGGTAGCAAACACATGGAAACTTCTTTTAAACTATAATACATCACAAACACAAGGGATTAAGCTATTGTGATCAATAATGTGCCAGATATACTAGGCACTAAAGATATCAAAGAAAAAAAAGCATTCTCATAGAAATAAAATTTCAGATAAGTGAATATTGAAAACTAAAGCACTATGTAAATATCAATGCGCTACATGTGTGTGAATGAATGAATAAATATTAACTGCCTTTTGTGTACCAGCTATTGTTTCAGGTACTGTGAAATGCCAGATAATGCTCCCAAGTAGTAAGGGAGGTTTATGTTCTATACTATTCACTATACACTGCTTATTTTAACTAATAAAGACTTTACTGGTGATGTCAAATTGATACCAGTGTATTCTCCTAGGTAACAGCAAAATGTAATGAATGAGACTGCACTTTCTAAACTATAAAGTGCTATATAAAATTTAGACATTAGATGTTTCCTGTGTGACTAAAAGTTTTTGCATGACAGGCATTATCTCTACAAAATTCTTGTGTGCTTGACCCACTATGAAAGGGGTAATACAAATAGTTACATAAACTGAAGGTTTAAATACTTGTTAAATGAATGGATATCAGTTGCCTACTAGGTGAATTAAAGAGCTAAATAAATTTATCATTTCATTTTGCCTACAGTTGAGAATAAGGCAGTACATATGTTAGCATTTTGTGAACTCCAAAGCACCATGTAAATACATGTAACTTGATTTTCTCATGTGGTGCCAAGTACTAAGCTAGTAAGATTGTCACAGTTTATATATATATATATATATATAACATAAAATAATAATGCCAGTTTCCTTGCTAGGCACTGAGGATGTGAAGATGAAACCATCTTTATTTGTGTCCTGGGTAGCAGAAGATAATCTATACAATCAATAAGTCTCAAATTGCCATACATAGATAAGCACTATCTGTTGAAGGAGCACTGATCATTTACTCTGTCTTATCCTCAGAGAAAGTAACTGGGGATGTAAAAATTCATTATCATTGAACTACATCAGAGATCTGTGTAAACTTACAAAGTTGACTAAGGAATTAACTGTTGGTTTAAGAAATGATTATTGCTTACTTTTTATGAGGCTTAGAACTGTGCATGGCCTAGGATATAAAAATACTATCCTTATTGGGTGTTCCCAGCAGGAAATTGAGGTATAGGTGTGAGATCCAGACTGAAAGTTACTTAACCACTGTGAAGCTTATCTGATGATGAAAATGGGAAAAAGAATTGTGCAGGACAGTAGGCCAAACGCTGAGCTAGGTGGAAAGATAAAGTTCAGACCAGAAGTCTACTTGCACCCTGGTCTGAATAGAGATGGAGAAAGTTTTCTAAAAAGTAAAGTGCTGTTCTCCACCAGTACCAGTTTTTAAAAATGCTGAGTGCTGATGATGGAGATATTTTAAGACCACACTTGCCTGGCTTAGATACGCTAAAGGACTAAAAATAAATGGCTCAGGTTTACGTTTAGGTTAATTTGCTAAACAGAGCATCTTTTATGTAGAATACCATTCTAGATCCAGAGCATAAGTGAAGTGAAATGAGCTTTGTCTAAAGGGCATCAGATCACAAATCATAGCTGAAGATACAAAGACATCTTTGACTTGTAAGTAGATATTTCTGTGCCTGTTCTCCAGAAGGCAGTATGCTTGATGAATTAATCCAGTAGGTCTGGTTTCGAGGATCTGTTGACTTGCCTTGGAGATAGAAAAAGATGGCATGGTTCTTTAAATAAAAAAGGAAGACATTTTTCATAGTTCTAGAAAGTCCCATGTCACTTGCTTATTTACATGGCCTAAAGCCAGAAGAAGCCAGATAAAAGGGCTCAATGTTTGTCCTTTAATAAAATGTGAATTATAGTGAAATGGTTTAAGATACAAATTAAGATGAAACAACTTGTTTTAAAAGTATTTGCTCATTGGACTGGCTTAGAGTCAGGAAGCCACTTGAGCTATATAGATGATTATTTCTAGATTGTCCGTATTTTGTAAAAATTTATTCATTCTGGATAAAGTCCTGTTCTTGAGTGTTTAGATGAAGAGATTTAAAAGACCTAGACCAAAACGCACTTTACTCTCACTAGCTTATAGTGGAAACACAAGAACAAATTTAATAAGAGACTATAGTTCTTCAATTAGTTCAAAAAACTTCATTGGAGCAGCTGTGATACTAAAGCACTGAGAAGGAATGATGAAATAGATCACCTCTTTGGCATGCTTTGTAGAGTAGGAATAAAAGCTTTTTTTATTCATTCATTCATAGAAGGTAGTGCTAAATGAAACAGGTTTGGTACTAAAGGTGCTTAGTCTGTCTTGAAAATGCAGTAAAAACAAGAAGTGGAATGAAAAGCTTTATTAATCAAAAGTTTGTTTATTTGAAGGTACAGTGTTAATTCCTTGACAGAAAACAAGTTGTGACTAAAGCACACTTTTTAAAATTGGCTTGGAGCCTAGAATATAAGAGAAAGGTCACTGTTCATTCACTTTTTTCATTCATTCACTCTACCAAGTATATTTGACTGTCTACTGTGTGTAAGGTCCTTTGCTATGTTTTCAGTTGGCCCCAGAGATGTGAAACAAACGAATGCCTTCCCAGACAACTTTTAAAACTTTGCTTTTGGCCTGTTTTCTGGTTATGGGCAAGATTTAATCTCTGAATAATATTATGGGGGTTTAATTCCTACTCCATATTATTTCCTACCACTCTGGCCACTATAATAAGCAGGGTTTTCTACTGAGCTTGCTCCATAAGTTGCAGGAACTGTCCTTATAATAGACACTTCCTTTTCTCCTAGCCTATTCCTCATGAAAAATAGCTGTGACCACTGCTGGGCAGGAGGAGATATAACAAAGAAATAATTTCCAAACCTGCCTCATTGCTATCAGCATTGGGGAATCAATCATTCTCAAGCCACGATTGGTTTTGAAACATTTACCAACTTTGTCTATTTTGAGTTCTTTACATTTTACATTCTGACAAATGTATACTGCCTAAATAGATCTCTTTGAAGAAGAGTCCTTAAATAGCACATAGCAAGACTGGAGATGGAGACATGATTTTGCTTTTGCAATAGTTTCTCAAAAGACACCTTAGAAACCTCACCATCAAAACCTGTTCAAGAAAGGACTTGTTATACTGGAATAATGTCAGTGAATGAAAATAGCTTTACAATTTCATCATGCTTAAGTTTTAAGAACAGTAACAATTGGAATTAGAAAAAATAGGAGGGAAAATATTCCTTTAAAATTCTCTCCAAATATAGGCCAAAGTGGGGTTTGACCTTTTCTTTTTTTAAAATCACTCACAGAGGGTGGGATAGGAGGAAGAGTGAAAGAAAAGGTCAAACCTCTTTATAAGGGCAGCCTGCCATTCCTGGATTGGTCTTAAAAAGATTACTACCTCCAGTCGAACTTGGGGATTGCTTTATTCACTTTAATGCAGTTCTAATAACTGGTCATTGTTGAGATGAAGACAAGACTCCTTTGTTCCCAGTCTTTTCTATAAGTTCTTGAGAATCAGTAATTCTTGGTTGATTGGTTTGGTTATCAGCTAAGCCTTAGGCTATGTAATAATGGGTTTTATTAACATGACCTCTCCATCATAAGGTAGTAAAGCTCAAGTCAAAATTAACTACAAAGGAAGATGACTTTTGTTCACTGTAATTCATACATACTTCAAAGCATCTAAACTTGAGAATATGTGGCAAGCCAACAGTATCATCCATAAATGGAGAAGGAATTAGAGTAATGACAGAGGCTAATTGGTGGAGGGAGCAAGGCTAAAGAGGATTAGTGGGTGATCTTTTGAATTTTGGATCCGTACATTTTAATTTGTACATCAGATACATCCAAAATATTCTCTGGCTTTTAATATGTGCTGTCAGCAGGGTTGAGTAACACCCCTTCAGGTGGGGATGGGGGATTGCATTATTAGGAAGTGAAAAGGAGAAAGTCACTAAAAGCCTTCCTTTCAAAGTTCCTGACATCCTAAGACTACTTACTACTGATAAGAATAAGAGAACATGCTGACACCTGATTTTTGTCGCATACATGAAGTTGTGAACAAATCTATTTTTAAAGGATATTACTCCGTCTCTACCCTTCTACCTGAAAGGGAATCCATGTCAAAATGCTGATAAATTGAAGATAAACTGACTTGTGAACTCATGTGAAATGCAGAATCTCTGAGCCTTGACTGGTTTGAAGATTGAAAAACCTTACTCAGCATGGGCGACCACCAAAAGGCAATCTAACGCTATCTGTTTCAAAACGAAGAAAAATTGGGGAGTATATAGTCTACTGTCAAATAAAATTTTGAAAACTTTTAGTGTGACAAGTTCTTCCTTATTGTCCTTAACCACACTAGTTTCCTTTTTTTTTTTTACTACCTTAATCATCCAGCTTGGGTAAATGATTTCCAGTTCCATTTCTCTGTAGCCTCAGTTGCTTCCTGTTCTCAGGGATAGATACTGAGAAGCACAAAACTATTGCTAAGGTTATGTGAAGTAAATGTACTCAAGAAAATCACTAATAAACAGGCCCAATTCCTGAGTGGGTGAAAGGGTCTTCATGTTACTGGAATTCCACATGATTATATATCCAAATGTTATATTGGCGACTTCATAGGCATATGAGCCAATGCAGTGTTTATAGGCGAAGACTTGTGCTCTCCTCTTAGCAATTACACTGACAACTTATCTTCAAAGAAACATTAAAAAGTTACGGGCCAAGTGACTACTTAGTACATGTGCTTTTTCTTTCCAGAGTTTGTGAACTAATTGCAATATTTAGCTTCTTGTTTTTATCATTAATATACACTTAATGACCAACAGTGTGGTTACTAGACCATTATCAAGTCCCCACAACGTATCACATTACAGTCACTGTCCATCAGCAGAGTAAGATGCTACAGAATCACTATTTGTCTTTTCTGTGCTATACTGCCTTCCCTGTGCCCCCCCAATACATTATGTATGCTAATCATAATACCCCCTTTCCCCCTTACCCTCACTTCCCACTCATCCTCCCCAGTCCCTTTCCCATTGGTAACTGTTAGTCTATTCTTGGGTTCTATGAGTCTGCTGCTGTTTTGTTCCTTCAGTATTTGTTTTTATACTCCACAGATAAGTGAAATCATTTGATATTTGTTTTTCTCCACCTGGCTTATTTCAGAGTATAATAACCTCCAGCTCCATCCATGATATTGCACATAGTAGGATTTGTTTTCTTATGGCTGAATAGTATTCCATTGTATATATGTACCACATCTTTACCCATACATCTATTGATGGACACTTAAGTCGCTTCCATTTCATGGCTGTGGTAAATAGTGCTGTGATAAACAGGGGTGCATACGTCGTTTTGAATCAGAGACCTTGCAGTCAAAGGCTCAAGTCCTACGAGTGGATTTCCTGGGTCAAATGGTATTTCTATATTGAGCATTTTGATGAACCTCCATACTGCTTTCCACAACAGTTGAACTAATTTACATTCCCAGCAGCAGTGTAGGAGGGTTCCCCTTTCTCCACATCCTCGCCAACATTTGTTCCTTGTCTTTTGGATGCTGGCCATCCTAACTGGTGTGAGGTGACATCTCATTGTGGTTTTAATTTGCATTTCTCTGATGATAAGCGGTGTGGAGCATCTTTTCATGTGCCTGTTCGCCATCTGAATTTCTTCTTTGGAGAACTATCTGTTCAGACCCTCTGCCTATTTTTTAATTGCTGTATTTGCTTTTTGTTTGTTGAGGTGCATGACCGCTTTATACATTTTGGATGTCAATGCCTTATTGGGTACATCATTTATAAATACATTCTCCCATACTGTAGGATGCTTTTTTATTGTACTGATGATGTTCTTTGCTGTACAGAGGTTTTTAGATTGATATAGCCCCACATGTTCATTTTTTATTTTGTTTACCTTACCTGGGGAGATAGATATGTTTATGAAGAAGTTCATGTTTATATTCAAGAGTTTTGCCTATGTTTTTTTCTAATAAGAGTTTCATGGTTTCATGACTTAAATTAAGGTCGCTGATCCATTTTGAGTTTACTTTTGTGTATGGAGTTAGACAGTAATCCAGTTTCATTATCTTACATGTAGCTGTCCAGTTTGTCAACACCAGCTCTTGAAGAGGCTGTCATTACCCCCATTGTATATGCATGGCTCCTTTATCATAAATTTAATTGACCATATATGCTTGGGTTAATATCTGAACTCTATTCGGTTCCCCTGGACTATGGCTCTGTACTTGTGCCATTACCAAATAGTCTTGATTACTGTGGCTTTGTAGTAGAGCTTGAATTTTGGAAGCGAGACCCCCCTGCTTTATTCTTCCTTCTCAGGATTGCTTTGGTTATTTGGGGTCTTCTATGGTTCCATATGAATTTTAGAACTATTTGTTCCAGTTTTGTGAAGAATGCTGTTGTTATTTTGATAGGGATTGCATTATATCTGTAGATTGCTTTAGGCAGGATGGCCATTCTGACAATATTCTTCCTAACCAAGAGCATGGGATCAATATCCATTTATTAGTGCTGTGTTTAATTTCTCTTAGGAGGGTCTTGCAGTTTCAGTGTATAGGTCTTCCACTTCCTTGGTTAGGTTTATTCCTAGGTATTTTATTCTTTTTGATGCAATTGTGAATGGAATAGTCTTCCTGATTTCTCTTGCTCCTAGTTCATCATTAGTGTATAGGAAAGCAACAGATTTCTGTGTATTAACTTTGTATCCTGCAACTTTACTGAATTCCGATATTACAGTAGTTTTGGAGTGGAGACTTTAGGGTTTTTTATGTACAATGTCATGTCATCTGCAAACAGTGACAGTTTAACCTTTTCCTTACCAATCTGGATACCCTTTATTTCTTTGTTTTGTATGACTGCCGTGGCTAGAACATCCAGTACTATGTTGAATAACAGTGGGGAGAGTGGGCATCCCTGTCTTGTTCCCAATCTTAGAGGAAAAGCTTTCAGCCTCTCGTTCAGTATGATGTTGGCTGTTGGTTTATCATATATGCCTTTATTATGTTGAGGGACTTGCCGTCTATACCCATTTTGTTTAGGGTTACCATGAATGGATGTCGAATTTTGTCAAATGCTTTTTCCACATCCATAAATGTGATCATATGGGTTTTGTTCTTGTTTTTGTTGAAACAGTGGATGATGTTGGTGAATTTTCGAATGTTGTACCATCCTTGCATCCCTGAGATGAATCCCACTTGATCATGGTGTATGCTAGTATTTTGTTGAATATTTTTACATCTGTGTTCATCAGGCATATTAGTCTGTAGTTTCCCTTTTTCGTGGTGTCTTTGCCTGGTTTTGGTATAAGAGTGACGCTGGCTTCAGAGAATGAGTTTGGAAGTATTCCCTCCTCTTCTATTTTGTGGGAAACTTTAAGTAGAATGCGTATTATGTCTTCTCTAAATGTGTGATAAAATTCAGTGGTGAATGCATCTGTTCCGGGGGTTTTGTTCTTTGGTAGTTTGTTGATTTCTGATTCAATTTCATTGCAGGCAATTGGTTTGTTTAGATTTTCTGTTTTTCCTTGGTCAGTCTTGGAAGGTTGTATTTTCCTAGAAAGTTGTCCATTTCTTCTAGGTTATCCACTTTGTTAAGATGTAGATTTTCATAGTATTCTCTAATAATTCTTTGTATTTCTGTGGTGTCCATCATGATTTTTTGTCACATTTCTGACTTTATGTGTGTACACTCTCTTTTTTCCTTGATGAGTCTGGCTAGGTGGTTATCTATATTGTTTTTCTCAAAGAAGCAGCTCTTGGTTTCATTGTTTTTTTTTTTTCATTACAATTTTATTTATTTCTTTTCTGGTCGTTATGTCCCTTCTGCTGACTTTAGGCCTCATTTGTTCTTCTTTTTCCGGTTTCAATAGTTGTGACCTTAGACTATTCATTTGGGATTGTTATTCCTTCTTTAAATAGGGCTGGATTGCTATATACTTTCCTCTTAGAACTGCCTTCACTGCATCCCCCAGAAGATGGGGCATTTTGGTGTTTTCATTTGTCCCTGTATATTGCTTGATCTCGGTTTTAGTTTGGTCATTGATGTATTGATTATATAGGAGGAGGTTGTTACACCTCCATGTGTTGTGAGCCTTTTTGTTTTCTTTGTATGATTTATTACTACTTTGTACCTTTGTGGTCTGACAAGTTGGTTGGTAGGATTTCAATCTTTTTGAATTTACTGAGGCTCTTTTTGTGGCCTAGTATGTGGTCTATTCTGGAGAATGTTCCATGTGCACTTGAGAATAATGTGTATCCTACTGCTTTTGGGTGTAGAGTTCTGTAGATGTCTGTTAGGTCCATCTGTTCTAGCATGTTGTTCAGTGCCTCTGTGTCCCTACTTATTTTCTGTCTAGTTAATCTGTCCTTTGAAGTGAGTGGTGTGTTGAAGTCTCCTAAAGTGAATGCACTGCATTCTATTTCCCCCTTAAACTCTTAGTGTTTGTTTCATATATGTATGTGCTGCTGTGTTTGGTGCATAGATATTCATAATGGTTGTATCCTCGTGTTGGACTGACCCCTATCTCATTACAGAATGTCCTGCTCTGTCTCTTGTTACTTTCTTTGTTTTGAAGTCTATTTTGTCTGATACAAGTACTGGGACACTTGCTTTTTTCTCCTTATTTTTTGCACGAAATATCATTTTGCATCCCTTTTAGTCTGTGTATGTCTTTGGGTTTGAAGTGAGTGTCCGGTAAGCAGCATATAGATGGGTCTTACTTTTTTATCCATTCTATTACTCTATGTCTTTTGATTGGTGCATTAAGTCCATTTACATTTAGGGTGACTATTGAGAGATATGTACTTATTGCCATTGCAGGCTTTGGATTCATGGTTACCAAAGATTCAAGGTTAGCTTCTTTACTATATAACCATCTAACTTTAACCCACTTTTATGCTATTATAAACACAGTCTGATGATTATTTCTCTCCCCTCTTTTTCATACTCCTCCACTCTTTATATGTTAGGTGTTTTATTCTGTACTCTGTGTTTTCCTTGACTGATTTTGTGCATACCTGATTTTATTTTGCCTTTAGTGTTTGGTTGGTCTGCTTTCATGGCTGTGGTTTATTTTCTCTGGTGACAGCTATTTCATGTTAGGTATATTTCCATTTAGAGCAGTCACTTTAAAGTTCATTGTAGAGTTGGTTTGTGGGAGCTAAACTCTCAACTTTTGCTTGTCTAGAAATTGTTTCATCCCTCCTTCAAATTTAAATGATAATCTTGCTGGATAAAGTAATCTTGGTTCAAGGCCCTTCTGCTTCATTGCATTAAATACATCATGCCACTCCTTTCTGGCCTG